ACTAGTTTAGGAAACCTTAGTTTAGCCCCTAGGTCGTGTGTTTGAATTGCTTGCATTTTAAAAAAAAAATAAAAATCCAAATTTGAATTGAAATTTCAGGAATTTAAATTTCAAAATATAAATTTGAATTTAAATTTCAAATTTCAAAAAAAAAAAGAGAAAATAAAAAATTTTAAAATTCAAATTTGAGTTCGAATTATAGAATTTAAATTTCAAAATCTAAATTTGAAATTAAAATTCAAAATTTAAATTTCAAATTTCAAAAAAAAAAGAAAAAGGGGGTTAAAACAAAATAAAATAAAATTAATTCAATGGCCGAAGATTGTGGAATGAGAAACTACTTCCAACTTGAGCCACGGATAGATTGAAACCATGTGTCTCAACAACTGGATAAGATTAATGGAATCGCCCAAAGACTTGATCAAGTCCTTGCATTTCGTCAACAAAGTGGCCCATACCCAACCTTGTCATCCTATCCAACATGCTCCATCTGTGCAAGCCCGACCCATCATGTTAACTAGTGCCTTGCGACGGGCGCATGTCAACCAGTCATTCYAGACCAAGTACATGCGGCCAACCAATTTTTCCAACCCATGCTAACCCATTCTTTCACCCATATAACCCTGGGTGGGAAAATCAGCCAAACTTCACTTATAGGGCCCAAGTCCAAGAAACCCCCTACCAGATGTGCACTCTCAATGGTCTGAAGCCTAAACTCACTGGGAGTACAATGATTACCTTGGGATTCAACCGGCTCAACCATGTCAAAGCTACACACAGTCCCAACAATAGTACCATCCATCTAACTCCATGGTCCAGGAATTTCAGAGGCCACAAGTACAGAACCAATTCCAGCAGATGTACCTTAGGAATCAACTAACTCAAACTTATCAGGCTTACCCACAACCTCCTCAAGCCCGTACAGTAGATGACCAATTCATGCAGCTTCAGCAGTTGATCCTAAATCAGCAACAGTCCATCAACAGATTAGAGAGCCAAATAGAACAACTGGCGAAAGCCAAGGCGAGGAGAGAAGTAGGGCAAATACCGCATCAATCGGTTGTGAATTCTTGAAATCAGCCACCGGGTTTTCCTCCACAACAAATTCAACCACCTCCTAAGAAGCCTAAGCTTGAAAATACTAAGGCTATTACAACCTTAATGAGTGAGAGGATTTTGGAGGACCCATGTGAGAAAAAGAGAGTTGGTGAAAAGGAGCTAGAAGACCCTAAGTTGGAGGGAGAAAAAAGAAGGAAAGGAAGCTTTAGAAGATGAGCCTTGAGTGAACCAACCCGTAGTTCCCTTTCCAACTACATTCACAGCCGGGCCGATATGGAAGAACAAAGAGACTCGCAATGAGTAGAGCTGGGACATCCATATTAACTTCCCTCTCCTTAACACGATCCAGCATGTCCCGGCCTATTCCAAGTTCTTGAAAGAGATATGTACTCAAGTGATGGAGCCACGATCGGCCCCACAAAAAATGATGCTCTTGGCAGATGTTAGTGCAGCTCTCCTAAACCAACTTTCCCGAAAAGTGAAAGACCTTGGTGCTCCTCTCATAAGTTGTGTCATCTCTGGAATCACCTTTGATCGGTCCCTATTGGATCTTGGGGCCAATATAAATCTGCTTCCATCCATTTATGACAGGTTCAGGATTGGCGAGTTAAAACCTACCCCGATAATTCTACAACTCGTTGATTGGTCAGTCAAGACTCCTCGAAGTGTTATTGAGGACGTCATTGTTAGGGTAGAGGGTTGTCACTTCCCAGTGGATTTTATCATCCTAGCCATGACCCCAACCGAGGAACTAAACCATATCTCGATAATCTTAACATGTCCGTTTCTAGCAACGGTCAATACAAACATCAACTGTAAATTGGGAGAAATGGACATTTCATTAGGGGAGTAGAAAATCCAATTAAACCTTTTTAGTGCCTCTAAGTATCCAAACCTTAGGGAAGATGAATGCAAGGTGGATATAGTGGACGATCTTTTAGATGCCCTGCCTACCCCTTGGTTAGCCCAATCTGAACCTCGTCTGTCGGAAGATGAAAGTGAGTTGGAGAGTTTAGATGAAGAAAGTGTGTGAATGTGTCCGGCTGAAGACATTAAACTTAGCGCTGGTTGAGAGGCAACCCAACGTAATTTTCGGTTACTTTTAGGATTAGAGTTTTTCTTTTATTGATTCAAGACCAGGTGGCATACCTTAAACCCCTCAAGAAAACCCTATTGATTGTTCCCTTTGGTCCAAATCCTTTTTGCATCATTCTAAGTCATGCCATTGGGGACAATGGCATTTAAGTTGGGGATGAGGAAAGAGAGAGAAAATTTGAAAAAAAAATGAGAAACTAAGCCTTTAAATATGTAGAATTAAAATTTTACTAAGAAATTTAAAAATTTTTCCATTAATAGAGATTCCCATGTTAAGAGTTTAATGGAAATGTTTGATGGCTTCAAGTATGTTCCATGATCTTCGTTAAGATCATGGAAATTTAGACGAGTGTTTCAGGCAATAAGAAGGTTCGAAATGGGATATTTCTATGATGGAAGGGTAAATGAGGGAATTTAAAGATGAAATTTGGTGAGTAAGTATTTTGTGATGTTAAGAGTTTAATGGCAGTGTCTAATGGGTTTGAGTATGTTGATATTAGAATTCGGACTACGAGTGTTTCAACTAATGAAGTTCAAAATTGAATCTTTATATAATGGAGAGGTGAATGAGGGAATTTTATCTAAAATTTGCTAGGTAGGTATTTTGGGATGGCAAAAGTTTAATGCCAGTGTTTGATGGGTGTGGGTATGTTAAAATCAATGGAATCTGGACTACGGATGTTTTGGCCAATTAAAGGGTTCAGAATGAAATCTTTGTATGAAGGAATTTTGATTTGAAATTTGGTGGATTGGTATTTTAGGATGTCATGAGTTTAATGGTAGTGCCTAGTGGGCTTACGTATGTAGGGATCAATGGAATCTAGAAGATGGACGTCTCGGCCATTAAGAAGGCTCGGAATAGAATCTTTATATGATAGAGGGATAAATGGTGGGATTTTGAGTTAATATTTGATGGGTAGGTATTTTTTGGGATGTCCATAATTTATTATAGTACCCGATGGGATAAGGGATGTTGGTATCATAGGAATTTAGATTACAAGTGTTTCGGCCAATGAGCTAACTGGAAATGGAAGAGGTAAATAAGGGAATTTTAAGTTCAAATTTGGTGGTTAAGTATCTTGGAATATCAGGAGTTTAACGAAGAAAACAAATTTTCAATTAGATAGGTAGAATAGGAGATCTAAGGGATAAAAACATCTTGGGTCACATTGGCTTGGCCAATATAAGATTTGGGAATGGAATCTTGAATTGTTTATAGGCCAAAAATAGGAATTTAGCTATAAAAATTTGTAGGAGTTTTAAGGTTTAAAATCATCGACTAATCTAGACCACTGAAACAGAATCATTAATTAATGTTGGGTGAGATCTCTATTTTAAGAGATGAAATTTGATATTAATGGGTATTTTAAGGTTTTGAATCAGATGGTTATATCTGATTTAATGATTACGGTTCACGTGATAAGAACTATTCCATTGGGGTCAAACAAGTTTAACAATGGATTTTGAGGATTCTGGCTTGAGATTTGGGCTCTTGGGGTGTTTGATAATTCAGAGAGATCGGAATGGTTTCATCAGATTCAAGGATGAATTAGGGTTCCAGCAAAGAACTGAACAAAAATCACCACTTATTTAGCCTGGACCCACACCCAACACATATCAAGTACATGGTGTTGTAGACCTGATGGGGCAGGATATACTGATCATTGAGTCGGTGGGCTTTACAGTTTTGGGTTTTCTCATGGTTTTTGTGGGCTAGCCTTCAACCAACGAACTTTCCGGTTTTAAACGAGATGGTTTTAATAACATTGCCTCATGTTATTGGGCAACATCCCCTGTACCATACCACCACTTTATTAGATCAGTTATGCAGAGAGAAGGCTGTGTTGTTCCAACTAAGTGAGGTTCCGATAGTGATGGTACCCTCAATCTAACATTGTTTATATAACCTTGGGAAGAATAGAGAAATTTGCCATATGGTCTAACCAAATTAACTTTTTAGCTGGATCCAACGACTGGAAATCTTTCAACACTTTGTACTCTATTCCCTCTCTTGGTTCCTGTTGGAACGGGTGGCCATAGGCCCTCGATTTGGAATCCTCAACGTGTAGGAGAATCCACTTACCATGTGAAAAGTCATAAGTTGATGGAATAGCTCAATAATATCATCCCTGTGAACACACTACAATACACACCAATTACAGTTTTTATTATATATTATTATTTATTTTCTATTAAAAATAAATTTGTTTTCTATAAACTGTTTTTGACTTGTTCACAGGGTGGTTATTGGATCTAAGTTGGATCCATTTCAGCCTTTGACTAAGTCAACAAGAGGATGTTTGGCTTAGAATGGGCTGAGTGATCATGTGGTTTAAAATCATGATCATTAAGACACTTGTCTCAATCCGAAGGATTAGAACAAGATTAATGTTGGTGAAGTTTATCCTTGGTACGGCTCTTATTTCCTTTTTCATAGGAGAGACATTGTGGTAATTACCTATAAAAGGGAAAGAGTAGAAGTCTTAAATGCACAGCTGAATATCCTCTTTATTGGAAGGCTATCAAAACCTCCAAGAAGTTCTGCCCAATTGGGATTGTATTATCAGCTTTGTGAAGTCCAAGGTTGTGTCCAAGTGTTGCTGGATCCATCAAAAAAAGTGGAGTTACTCTTTCTTTGCAGAATCTTATTTTCCTTTAATTTTGTCACTATTCTGTTATTGTTTTTCAGTTCCAACTTCCAAGCACCGGTGGATTGATGTGTTGGGCAAAACTAAAATTAATGGCAGTGTTCTCTGTTTAGTAGATTCTAATTGAAAATCAAAAGATTGTCCCCCACGTGAGGTCCTTCCTTCAATCAAGATCTTTCAACCTAGTTTCTTCAAACCAATTTCTCAAAAAATCCCATACTTATAGCTTCTTCACAAGAAGAATAAGAACTCTTCTAAAGTAAGAAAAGAAGATTAATTACAATTAGAAAAAGTGATAAGTAAACTAACATACATATCCTGTCCTACGTTTAATTTGAATCCTCATCACCCACACGCAAAGCAACAAAATTTACAACCAATACAATCTAAACTACAGAACAATCTTTTCTTATCTCTTCCACAAACCGCCGGAGATTCTTATCAGAAGAACCATCCTCCTTCACAGCTTTCTTGGCTAATTCTTTCCATTTCCTGGCGTTCCTTTTCATCTCTTCCCCATTCTCTCCTTCCGTCACCATATCTAAGCACCTCTTGATCTCCTCCCTCTCAACTACTCCATCTCCTTCTCCTTCCTTCTCTCTCACCCTCACCCCTGTACCGAAAACACCTTCTATTAACATCGCATTCGTCGCTTGGTCCGTCCACTGTGGAAACGCCACCACCCGAACCCCAGTCACCAGACTTTCCAACGTTGAATTCCATCCACAGTGCGACAGGAAGCAACCCACCGAAGGGTGTGAGAGAACTTCAACCTGAGAACACCACGGCACTATCATTCCTTCTCTTTTCTGCTCTTCGATCCTACTCAGAAACGCTTCTTCCTCTTTCTTCGTTTCTTCTGAAGCATTCTCATTCTTCCGGATGACCCACAAGAACGGCCGACCACTCTCTATCAACGCGCTTGCAAGCTCTTCCATTTGCCGCTTGGGTAACAAAGCGATGCTTCCGAACGATACGTAGACCACAGATGAATCCGCTTTCGAGTTCAGCCACTCCATGTAGTCTGCCGAACCATGGAACAGATCTCCTCCAAAAGATTTATCAGATGGGTCTTTGCCATCTAAGAAAGCCGACGGAATCAATGGCCCAACTCCAATCAAATCAATCTTCTCAACGACTCTCAGTGCTTCAGGCTCTAAGGCATCAAACGTGTTTACAAGTACTCGTGGCTTGGTTTCTCGTTCCAAGGTTTCGATCTGTTCATGGAATATTGGGAGAGCAAAAGCATAGGTATTGGAAGGAAGGAGAAAGGAGGGAAGGTCTCGGCTGGTGAGTGGTGGTAGACCTGGTAGTTCTACAGTATACGAGTTGTCATTTTTGTTGTTACATATGAGGTCGCCATAGCCTGTGAAGTTGTAGTAGTAGATGTCGAAGACAGTTGCGGGTTGAATCCAGAGAAGGGCCCAGGGGACATCAAGGTTACGTGCGACGTCTGCGGCCCACGGTAGGAGGAGGGTGTGAACCAAGCAGCTAACGGGGCGGCCTTCTCTAGCTAGGCTGAGAATAAGCTCTCTGAGAGTCTCTGAACCACGGCGTTTCAGCTCGGACAGGAAGTGTTCGACGCTGTCGGTGAGTTTGAAGCCGTCGTCATAGCCGTCTGAGAAGGGTGCGAAGGTTAAGCCATCTGGGTTGCAGGCGTTCGACATGCGACGATGAGCAGAGACGCTGGTGGCGAAGGTGACTTGAGCGCCGATGCGTATGAGGCGCTTGGCGAACTGGAGGCTTGGGTTGATGTGGCCTTGAGCAGGGAACGTCACAAGCAGGAAGTGGGGGTGCGACATAGCTAGAGCCTGGATCCTGGATCCTGGAATGCAGATTCAAGTGCTTTGTGTGGTTTATTTTGATGAGCAGATTCAAGTGTGCTGTGGTTATGGTGGAGAGCTGGGAATGGATTTGAGCTTTGAGCTTTGTACAAATTTGTGATGAGTTATAGCGGGCAAGTCCTTAAGAGCACGGAGTTTAAATAGAACATGGGCTAGCTTGTAGCAGTAATGACGTGTGTGGTGACGGATTGACTCTTGTTTTCTTGTGTTCTTCACTCAGTAGAACTTATGATGAGCGCACAGATCATTAAATTGATAAAACAATTGAAATTAACAATAAAAGTTTATCTGTTCTTTCATGTATATGTGAACAAATTTGGAATTGACAGTTATTTGGAGAAGTCTGTGATCCACTACTCTTAATGATGCGTCGATGCCAGAAGATTCGTGATGGTTAATGGTTGGTTGATACTTGATGGAAATTATCACATTCTAGTACACGAATATTGGTTGGCAGATATAAAGAATAAATGCAAGTGTTGCACAGAAAGACTATCGATTACGACAATTATGGTTTGAACTTTGAAGATTAAGAAGAGAACCCCATCACTCATTCGTCCCGTGGTGAACAAGAAATCTAGACGGATGCGTCATGGTTTCTGTTATCCACATAATTAAACCTAACTTTGTTGGATATTAAACAAAGGAAATGGGATTTGCTCCTCACATGATTGGTCCCCATTGCAGCCGTGCATTAGGAACATCTCGATGAATTAAAACATGCATTCCCTGTTTTAAATTTAAAAGGAGCAAAAGATTTTTCGCCATACTGTATCCCTGCAGACACCCAGATACAACAACATTCCCATTCAAAAATTCACGTGGAGGCTAGGGCATGCATTCTGATAACAAACGCTGAAACGATAAAATCAAAGCATTTGATTTATTGAAGTGGCCCTGCTTTGATGAATTAGATAAAATAACATCTTGTTGAGACCACTTCGCTTTTAGCCCTGCCCTACGGTACTGTAGTGAATAGTTGTGCTATTATTGGAATTGGTCCTGAAGGCAGAATGCTGAAAATTTCTAAAATCTATTCTTGGTATTTGATAATATGTTCATAAATGCCAAAGCAAATTCCTCTTTCAGCCAATAGAAAGCTAGAATGAGCCAATGACGAAGCGTTGTGTGATTATCTGATGATTCAGGTGATGATCCCGTCCGTATCTGCTCCTCACCGAGCGTATGCCTCACACCGACGTGACAGTATCTTCCCTATTTGTATTGATGTGGCTGTGAGGTCGGAGTGAGGCGCTCACAACAGATCCCAATTCCATGTGATGTAGACGGTCATATGGTGACCCAAGCTTTTTTGGGTTAGCTTGTTGTATTTGGTTTGAAGGAAAAGGTGGGGAACACAGCCGAAATCATTCCATAATATGTGGCCATTATGAAGTACGAAAGTTAGAAGGGATGGAGACAAGCCTCTGCAAATATCTCTCCATGAAATATTCCTGATGCAAGGCTGTAAAGGCTGTTAAGATGGGTATTGCCTGACAGAACCTGAACTTCTGCAAAGACCGACAGAAGGTGGAATCAAGGGTAAATTTTATGCCAGATTTGAGTCTGAATTGTCATTTATAGAATACAGACCCTGACCTACGCTCCCGGCTCCCCCCCTAATTGACCGGTGGTCCAATGACTGGCCCCTCATTTGGTATAGGCAGTAGCCTACCTTTGAGATGATTTTGAGCCAATGAGTGCGTAGAGCGTATTCAATTACGAGTGTCATTCGACCATGCATCAAATCTGTTTTTACTTATTAGGGTCGGCTTTTGTTTTGATATTGGATTCCTGGACCAAGCAAGAGGTGCGATAGTAGGGCAGAGTTACCTTGGATTGAGGTTAATTAACCCTAACTCAACCAGAACTATAACCCCAAGCCCGAACATGTTTTCGGATTAGGTTCAGACTTCTTTACGCACATTACATACATGCCACATGTATAAACAAGAGGTTGAGTTAGGNTAACCATTCTAATGAATATTAATGGATGCGATTAACCAAGATCATTTGTCATTCCCATAAGCTGAAGTTTTTCCCAATTTTATTTAATATTCTTTCTCAAAATATATTAAACCTACTTCTATCAAAGAAACCCCTCGATCCCTTGACTAGAGTTCTCAATGATAGGAATGCATTAAGTGCAAGAAAAAACACATATATTCAGATGAATCATGTGTATATATCCCTATATACCATTYAATTCACACCATGAATTATGTGGTTGAATATATAAATTCCTCTCCCGATTCATTCATATAAACCGAATCAATTAAGAGATGGCCACTCCTAATTGCATTAAACAAATAATTCATAGACTATATGGAAATCACGATCTTGGATAAATCGTAATGATAAAAATATATTCATTATCATGGTTAGACTTTCCACAGCCCTAGCTAAAAACAAATAAGTTCATGATAAAGAAAATAAAGAAATCAAGAGGAAAGAAAGAACTCACGAATTCGCCCATGGTGCTGACATCTCCTCTTTTTCTTGCCACCACCTCCTTCTTGAAGCTTTCTTGATTTGTCGATCTCCTTCTTGAAGTTTCTTGATGATCTTCTTGATTTACTTCAGAGGGACTTCAGTAATTGATTAATTCAATTATTGATTGATGCCCAAAGCTAATTCGCCCAACCCTTGATATGGTTTAGGGAGGGGGGTTGTTACAACCACTTGGAGTTATCTCTAGAATAGATAATCTAGGTTAAATTTATCTTATCCTATCTTATCTTATCTCTTATCTAATGATCTCAATCTTTAACTTTCTAGAATTACATCATAAATTTAAATCTAATAGGACTCTTTATTCTCGAATTCGTATTGGGCTTCTTTAATAATTTGGGCTGCTAAAAGGCATTTCTGCGAATTGGGCTTCAATTGTGAACTGGGTTTTACTATGAATTTTCTTCGACTTTGGGCCCGATTTTGACCTCGGTGCAGGCCGAATCTGTCAAAACCCAAAACATGAAAGTTGTAGATCTCGCTCTTATCTTTGCAATGCATCTTGAATCAGCCAAATCGGAGCTCGAAAATAGGAGGTAGGCCCAGATTACTGAACGGTGCCGAAACTGTGAAAAACCATCTGATTAGCCTTGTTTTCCTTCTTGCGACTTCTTTCCTTGCCCTGAATCAAAATACCAGAGTAATGAGTCCAATTAAATGCAAATTAAGTGTAGAAAGACTGAACATTCATAGATAAGAATATGATAATTTTTATTCGCATAAAATCCCCCCACACTTAAACTTTGCCCGTCCTCAAGCAAGACAAGACTCAAGCAAAACTAAACGGGAACCAGTTGACTATCCTACCAATTTTTTAACTCAACTCCCCTTCATTTTTCTCAATAATATTCTAGGTTAACTATTACAAACTGTTAAATCAACACAACAAATTCATACATGACTTATTCATCAGTCAATCCAATTTTTGCTACTACAAACCAGGTAGTAAACTAGGGAAAACATTTTTATCTCCTCTCTCTCTCTATTTTTTTTTCTCTCTGTTTTCTCTTTTTTTTTTCTTTTTCTTTTTCTCTCCTTGGTGGAAGTGAGTGCATTTTATGTTCCATCTCACTTTTAGGATTACCTGGTCAGTAGGTGCATTTTATGCTCTATCCTACTGTTTGAATTGTTGGCTAGTAGGTGCATTTTATGCTCCATCCTACTATTGAATTACTTGGCTGGTAGGTGCATTTTATGCTCCATCCTACCACCAAAAATATTCACCCTATTTACTTAAACCTGAAATTAGGACTAGCTTAACTAGAAATGGCTTCAGATAGGTCGTGTACTTTTTAATTGTACCACATTACTAGGTCCACAAGAATTTTCCCTGAAAAAGGACTAGCTTAACTGAGTCCTTTTTTTTTGGAGAAAAACATGACCTAAATCAAATTTTAAAACACAACCGAAATTCTAACATAAATCCTAAATCCCCTTCCCCACACTTAAAACTTACATTGTCCCCAATGTGAGGTTAAATGCAAAGAGAGGGCAGAAAAACTAAACTAGAAATGTAAAAACAAAAAGAAAAAGGAAAAACAAACTTCCCAATTTTTAATAATCATGAATCGGATCCTCTAACTCTCATGGTTGCAGCTTTCGGTGTGCTCCCCTTCCATCCATCATGGGCGGGTTCAAATCTGGAATAGGGGCCTGCAAAATAGAGGGTAACAGTCTCTTATTAGAAATCCGCAACATAATATAATGAGCATTACCTTGTCTTGGCTTGAACCCTTCCTGACCAACCTCCAAATAGTTCACTACCTCCTTTGCTTCTTCCTCCATGACCTGCATGTTTTTACACGAATTAAGAATGCAACTTTCAAAGGGATCATCTAACTTTGATGGGTTAATCTCAGCTGCCCAAACATCAATACAATCGATTGCATAAATTTCATGTTCAATTGTGTTGGGATATTTCATGGTTTTAAATACATTAAACACCACTTTTTCACCATTGATTCTAAGGGTAAGTAGACATTTTCGCACATCAATTAAAGCACTACCAGTAGCAAGAAAATGTCTCCCTAAAATCAGAGGCATTGTCCTATCTTCCACCATATCCAACACAATGAAATCAACAGGAATAATAAAATTGCCCACTTTGACTAAAACATCTTCTACTATTCCCCTAGGATATTTAATGCTTCTATCARCTAATTGCAGGGTAATAGTAGTAGGTGTTAGTTCATGCAACCCGAGTTTTTCAAATATAGAATAGGGTATTAAATTTATACTAGCACCCAAATCACATAAAGCTTTTTCAAATTCAGTATTCCCTATGGTGCAAGGTATAGAAAAACTCCCTGGATCCTTAAGCTTTGGGGGCAATTTATTTTGGATGATGGCTGAGCACTCTTCGTTCAATTTCACCATCTCACATTCCTCCCATTTCCTTTTATTCGACATCACCTTTTTCAAGAATTTGGCATATTTCGGCATCTGTGACAATACATCAAGAAAAGGGAGATTAGTATGAATCTTTTTAAATACTTCTAAAAACTTTTTTAAATTGTTTATCCAAATTAGCTTTTAAGACTCTTATGGGGTAGGGGAGAGGAAGTTTAATAGCATCTAAATTCAGTTTAGGTGTACTCCCTTCAGTCTCCTTTTGTGAATCGGATACTTTAGCTTCCTTGTCATCATTTTGGGTCTCGCCAATTGTCTTCCCACTTCTCAAAGCTATGGCATTTACTTGCTCTCTTGGATTCTTCTTCGTATTGTTGGGCAGCCGTCCCTCCTTTCTTTTC